AAAAACAGCTGCTGTGTCGTCTTCTCCTCCAGTAACAACCCAACGGTCAGTGCAGTCTACACAAAAAGCATCCTTAGAATGTGCTTCGAAAACACCCGCCGAATCGTCCACAACTTCTTGCTCTTCACCCAAAAGCTCCTCTTCGACTGAAGAACAAGTTGTTAATAAAAATACCGAAAAATGAACGACCAGTGTGGAAAAAAAATATAAAGTTGTTACACAAATCCTTGTATTCTGACAGTTTTATCATTGCGAATATGATGCAAAATCCATTAAAAATATTGAATTGTAAGCGTTCCTGCTTTCTAGTACTGTCATCAGCACGTAAAATATGTTAAAACTTCATTTCAACCATTTTTTATCTTGAAGGTGACGTTGAACAATTTACATTGCAACCATCTCTTATCTTAAAATTGAAAATGAACATACTGATTCGTACTTACGAGCTTCTTCTAAAACTCTACTCATATCTGAGTTCAGCTCCACAACAGGAAGGTCATTGTTTTCGCCCATTTCTTCATCCATCAAAACTTCTTCATCTTCTACCCCACACGGTTTTGAATCGCCACCAGAACTGCAGTTCGACCTCATAACAACGACTTCATAAGTTGAAAATTAATCAAAGAAGTCCTACAAACTTGAAAGTTTAAATACCAATTTTGGTTAAACAGACAATTAGCAATAATCCACAGACGGACTGCCGTTAACAGCTAAGGAACTGTCAGCCATTTTTAAAACTACCGGTAAAGATTATTCTGTACGAAATTACTGTATGTATCTAAGCAGAAACGAAGCCCATGGACAAAAAACAACAGAAAACGAGTTAAGGCCATAAACCATCTTTACAACCACAGCAACACTTCAGAAAAAAAATTAAGCTTAACAGCAGCCTGTTTCACCTCCAGTAACGTCGATCCTGATTTCACGATATTAATTTCACAGCAAGCAAACTAAACCCTCACTTTTTCCGCTGGCTCGTATTCCAACGGAGCAAATATCTTGGCAACTTTCCACTGTAGCGAAACGAGTTCTGCAGCGCCCATCCTCGCAAGTAACTTTTATTTAATGCTACATTTTATTCTCCGCCAGTTCCTATCCTACTTCTTTTCTCGACTTACTTCTGCAAATACGAAGTCTGTAGGATAATTCTACTCCGCTTCTTCTCCAACGAAAATCATCCCCGGATAAATTCTGCTGCGACGCTTTTTTTTTCCAGTAATCTTTCAGAGATAGGCTTATGACATACTATAGATCAACTCATTTATCTCAAATTTTTCACCTGCGAAACACTGGGGACGACAGTCAATAGTGCAGCAGTTCCACAGTAAATGGTACACTTTTTACATCTAATATTTTAGTTTTCTCCAAACATGACTCGTAGGCTTCTAGTGTGCAAACTCGAGAAACGTTGACCCAAGAAGCACATTAACGATACAATCAGACAGCCAGCAAATTTGGAAAACATATGACTTCGCCTACGTACTGGCAACGAATAACCTAGGACCCCGAAGTCTGCAAGTTAGCAAAACTTTAGAGAAACCTGGAAAACCAGTTGGAGAGGAATTACGATCAGGGACGAGGTCACCCAACCACTTCGAAACAAACATTCCGTTGTAAACATATTCCAGCTAATCATTCGACGTGTTCTTGTATCCACGCATCATTTTTGACTCTCAGCACCTTGAAACCGTCCGACTAAGTAGAAGGCCATGAACCTCAAACCTTTATTCACTTGTTGCCGCCTTAGACACAAATCCTTAGCCGCTCTCCCCTATTCTGGTGCTGGTCTCAGGAAGACTGCTAAGAACATTGTTGTCATACGAGGCACACCACAGATGATGCATATTTGAGAAAGAATATACCACTGCTTCAAAAAGTGGATATCTGAATGACTTGCGGAACAACATTTGCGCATAAAACTCCTGTTTTCATATCGAGTTAATTCTTAATTAAATTCTGCTCGTCTTCCTTAACCCCTAAATCCTTAAGCAACTTCTACAGTTCTTTTGCGAGCTTCTCATCTTTAATTCTACCAGTTTGCGACAGAGGGGTTCTCTCAAATTCTTTAGAATGCGTACTTTGCAAAAACACCATTTGTCGCACGAGAAATTTATTTCTTCTCAGCTCAGTAGCTCGGTGTAAAGCAGTCACGATTTTAAATTGTCCAGCAATGAAACAAAAGAAAAAGCTACCAAACTACGTGAAATTACAAATGAAGTAACGGAAAATTTTGAGCACCTTTTTCAGTTAGATAATATTGCCTCTGTTAATTAAATACAAACTTTTGCAATTTGGGGACACCAACATATTCTGGTGTTCTGCAAATTTTAAACCAAATCAATAAAAATAAATAAAAATTAACCTGGAAAATACTAAGAGGTAAATAGCAAGTGAGAATGACTAAAATAGATTTGGATATCTGAAGATTTTGCTATTCTGTGAGTTATAATTTGTACTGCACCATGCAGTATATCAAGCCACCCGTTCTTAAACACAGCTTAAATAAAAAAACAGACCAGAAGATCAACTGGAGCAGAGTAATTGAAGCTTGGTTAAGATAAAGCTAATCAAGCATAATCTTCGACAGGAGGACAGCTACATAATAAATTTCTGTCTCCATACTGGTCGTCAATCCGTCCAACAGTTGGCCAGATCTTTGTGTAACACCATGGTTTGGGGAAAGCCGCCATTTCTCGAGAATACGGTCTGTCCCATTTGGACGACGTTACCACTGCCAATGTGTGCGGTGCCATCTGGAATTTTAAAACTATTGGCTGAAGCGTTTCGCAAACGATGCAGACCTATCAGTGGTTCATGCGAAGTAACTCTTTTTATACGGCTACGATTTTCTCCTATTGCCTTAGATTCACTCAGCACGTCTTCAGTTCGAAGTTTCTAAGTATTTAGCAGTGTGGCCTGCTCTCCTCTGAGCTCGTTTTGCTCAGGACTGAACAGTCAGTGATACCACATACAATTACAAGCGTTATTATGGGCTACGGATGAAAAATATAAGATCTTTCAAGTACAGATTAGTCTAAGGGAATAGTCTAATAAAAATTACCTTCAATGGATTACAATTTCTATCCATTTCACCATTTTCAATCATTGCTATTTCATGACGAATTGCTAAAAGCGAATCAATCAGGCGATCAATCTCAGTTTTACTCTCACTTTCAGTTGGCTCTATCATCAGGCAGTCGTGAACAGGAAAAGACATTGTTGGAGAGTGGAATCTGTAGAAAGTGGCTGTTATGACTACCTATGGTTAAGGTTAAGGTGCAAGAAATTTTTTACGAACACCATGACATAAGCATACCCATAATCCATCAACCGTTTAGCAATATCTCCGATTTCGATCCCAGCTGTCTTTTTGAAATCTTTACAGTCCAAAACAAATTCGTGAGCCACCAAGCCTTGCTTCCCCTGCATAAAAAAAAGGTATAAAACGATTTGGGATACAAATAAATGTACGTAGCAGCAAAAAACACCTTATAAACGATTTGGTAAGGCCCCTCTAGCCTCTTCGCCATGTAATTAGCATTTAAAATTGCCATTTGTGACGCCTGCTTGAGTCCAGATCCTCCCATCATCCGAATATAGGCCCAAGTGACAGGCAACACGCTGAAATATGAAATGCTGATTGGGAATTAATTACTACGCATTACATTTCAAAACATCTCTCTTAACACCCCCTCCAATTAAGAAATCTCATCATTTTTGACTTCTTACCTGCTTGAGCCGTACGGAGACGCACTGACAGCACCACTAGTGCGCCCATCTATTGGCACAACTGAATGACCGGGCAAGTAAGGAGCAAGATGCGCCTTCCTAGAAGAAAGACAACCGCTTATCAAAATTACTATCAGAAAACCCGTAACATCTATAAACAAGACGGTTCAGAACATTAGACAAAAAAGCTGAAGTATATGAGAAGGCTGCATCATAAAAGTTTACACTCCAATAGGTCCAACTCCTGGTCCGCCACCACCATGTGGTATGGAAAAAGTTTTGTGAAGGTTCAGATGTGAAACATCACCGCCGTAATCGCCAGGACGGCACAACCCTACCTTACGAAATATACGGGGATTGAGCATTTATGGTGGAATATTCATAAATAGCAACGGATTCATCTCCTACCTGTGCGTTAAGATTTGCACCATCTAGATAAACTTGGCCACCATTTTCATGGACTTTTGCACAAACGTCAACAATCGCGTGCTCGAAAACACCAAACGTGGAAGGATATGTCACCATACAGGCTGCGAGCTCATTTTTGTATTTCTCCGCCTACAAAATACTAAACTTTTTAAGAGTTTACTTTGAAAAAGTGATACTGTTTAACACCAGTCCTTTACTTAGTCTCTACTCTTTACAGTCCTGTAGAATAAATATCTTCAAATCAGAAACTCCCAAAGTAAAAAGATAACTAATCTGAGCAGCATATACTACACAATTTGTAAAGCACCTTAGCAGACAGATCTTGGTAACTAATGTTGCCATGTCTGTCCGATTCAACGGGAATAACCTTCATACTGGCCATATGAGCACTGGCTGGATTCGTTCCATGTGCAGAAGTTGGAATTAAACAGATCTTAAAGTCAAAACGATTTGAAAGGAATAACATAAAACCATATTCCAATATATTTTGAGTAGCTTAATTGCGACTACCGATAATGATACAGCCACTAACTCACATTACGCTGCTCTTGTCCTTGCGCTGAAAGATAATTTCGAATAGTCAACAACCCCGCATATTCACCGTTCGCACCACTAAAAAACCTCTGGTCTAAATTCTTAACGAGTTCACTTACTTTAAAACAGTAAAACTAAACAAATATCAAATTGCGCAAACAAAATAAACTGTGATTACCAAAAATTTAATACAGTTACTTATCATTAGTACTACCTATTTGGTTGTAGGCAGACTTTATCGTAACCAGTGATTTCGCATAACCACTTCTCCAAGTCTGCAAACATCTGGCTGTATCCTTCGGACTGGTTTCGAGGAACAAACGGATGCAGAGCAGCAAACTCTGGCCAAGTAATAGGCTGAAAATTTTTGTGCATGTTAATTATAGCAAAACGATCACCGGTTAAAAACTGATTTGAAATTTTTTACTTGATTAAAGACCTCACAATTAGTTCAGCACTGCCATTTAATTTCATTGTACATGATCCCAGCGGTATCATAGAATGAACCAGTGACACATCTTTATTTTCCAAGCGCTTCATGTATCGGACCAGTTCGGTCTCGCTATGGTAACTGTTGAAAACTGGATGCGCCAGATACTCGGTTTTACGAGAATGGGGAGAGCTGACCGTTAATGGTCCAATCGCTTCTGTAATACCTGCTTCACACTCCTCCTAAAGTTGTTTATACTAATTATTAATTAAAAAACAGCAATAACCGTCAATAATCATAAAAACCCGCTTACTACCTACTTCCCCAATGAAATAAGAAATATTTATTGTGACAGATTTCCTCATAATGGAGTGGCGTCTTACTGAGCTTGTTTGAATTCCAAAGGCGTCTAGAAGGTTTGCAATATTTTCCGGCCCTGTTGTTTCATCAACTGCAATTCCAACACACCCGTCACTGTAGTACCGTAAATTAATAAGTTGTCGTTCACATTTTTGCTTTACTTCATCCACATTCTTAGGCCGTATTTTAAGCGTATCGAAAAATTTAGAATGGAGAATTTTATTACCATTACCACGCAGCCCTTCAATTAATGTATCATTGAACGCATTATTGAAAAATACTAGAAAAATGCTGGTCAACAATTTTATAAATCTTTTTCCAACGTTTTAAAAAAAAGACGACTTAAGCGGAAATTTATGAGTGCCAATTGATGTCGCAAGTTGAAAGTAAAGGAAACGGAACTGTATGCAAGGTAAGACGCAGTCTTATGAACATTACGAGCGATTGTCCTGAGTCTTTTGGGCCCATGAAATACTGCATACATTGCGGCCATATTGGCCAACAACGCTTGTGCTGTACAAATGTTCGACGTGGCTTTATCGCGTCTGATATGCTGCTCACGAGTTTGTAAGGCAAGTCGGTAAGCAGTTTCACCACCAGAAGTTCTTCAAAAGATTTTGCTACCAGTGTGAATTTTTTTCACCGTATGAGGGATTTTTTACTTTGCATTGTTAAAGAAATTTGTTAAACTCATTTTTTTGAACAAATCTCACCAAAGAACTTACCTGGTGACTCCAACTATACGTCCAGGCATTGCTCTTACAAGAGAATTTTTTTTATCTATCTTCTTAACTGCCATAAAACCTGCATGTGGCCCACCAAACCCAAGCGGTACACCAAATCGTTGTGCACTTCCCACAGCAACATCAGCTTCCAAATCTCCAGGAGAACGGATAAGCGCCAACGACAACAGATCACACGCCAAGATTACAAGACTCTAGAAGGCAAAAAATATTACCTAATCTTCTTCGAGCCATCGCTCAACCTTCATAGAAAACTTTCCTTTCAGTAAAAAGTAACAAAATAAACACCTTGTTTTCATGGACTTTACGGATTAATTCTTTCAGATCAACTATAGCACCTTCCGTATTCGGATACTGCGCAATAATTGCAGAAACACTGCCGTCAAGTTTAGGATGGTTGAAGTCTAACTCATCGAGCTGAATATTTAAGGGGCTAAAGCAAAACAAATTAATACGGTTAATAGTTGGCGTATCATGCAGAATAAAGAACTACTAATAAATCAGTTGCACAAGACAGCAACGAAATCCTTTCTCATTAATCTTTAAAGATATCTTCTCCTTAAATAAATGAAAAAAAAATGTGACAGCATACTTAGCCCTGGTTTTCAACACGCCAATATTCTGCGGATGTAATTTTGGATCGAACAAGATTTTTGGTCTTTGATTGTACCGTACAGCCAAAGCAATCGCTTCTGCACAAGCAGTACTTTCGTCTAATAGCGACGCATTGGCACTTGCCAAACCTGTTAAATCAGAAATCATTGTTTGAAAGTTTAAAAGACTCTCCAAACGTCCTTGCGAAATCTCTGCCTGATATGGTGTGTACTGAGTAAACCTGGAATATAAAAAAGACTAAAATACCTGGATCTTTAAAGTAATTTTACACTGCTATTATTTAATAAGAGATGTTGCAAACTCCATGCTATTACTTTAGTCAAACCAAAATGGGAATCAAAAATCAAAATATTGATGATTTCATTTGTAACCTACCATCCTGCATTCTGCAAGACATTTCTCAGAATCACGGATGGCACAATACAATCGTAGTAGCCCATTCCAATAAATGATTTATAGATTTTATTCTTCTTGGCTATTCTTCTCAATTCGCCAAGCATACGTGCTTCATCTAATGGTCGTGGCAAATCCAATGGTCTTTTCAACTTTATCGCTTCGGGCACATCGACACCCGTTAGTTCATCCAAATCCTAGACGGTGATGCCATCAAAATCAAATGTTTTATGAGTAGTGGTCTAGTCAGCTCACCTTTCGGACAAATGTGGCGGTGTTTTTGCGAAAGAAATTTGCGAAGTACTTGTAGTAAAAAAATTGTAAGCAGCTTTTTATGGTATAAAAGCAAGTAAAAAGCTAAAGGCTAACACTTTGCTAATGGACGTAAATTAACCTTTATATTGAAAATTTTTTAGCTACACTTGAAATAAGCAACAAATTTGATTGAATTCTTCTTCTGTTCCTTCGCTATTGCCAAAGTTACTCAATTTTTCTAGGCTATTTATCATTCAATGTCTTCACAGATTTTTTGAATTAAATTTTAGCGGCCAGTAATAACGCGACAAGTTTTTTGGCTCTGATTCGCAAAAATAAATGAGTGCTAACTTTGAAACCCAAATACTGTAGCATGATGTGCTTCTCAAGCTCCGATGGCCCAATATGTCTTTCTGAGAAGCATTCATACTGCAAGTGCCTGTAACTGTTCAGTATCGTAATATAACGTCGAGTATGTCGCAACAAATTATTCCCAAGCAAGATCATAATTCTGAAACAACAAATAAACCAAATCCTATAATACTACATATGTTTTCAGTTCCTGAAATACAGATAAAAAAAGTTGGTTCTTTGTAAATGACACTGAAGCATTTATGTTCCATAAAAGTTAACAAATTTTTTCAACTGTCGAGTAATAATAGACCCAGTCAGAAAAATAAATAAAATAGGCCAAAAACGCTACATATACAATTGATTTCTATGTAAATTCATAATTAAAAAAGCTACTTTAAAGAAGTTCAGTGATTTAAAAAATTGCCTTTTAGGTCATCGTTATTTCCACAGTTTAATACTTCAGGATTTTCTTCTAAAACCAGGGAAAAAAAAGAAGTTTACAGCCTAAGAAAGCAAAATAAGGGTTAAAAACACAAAGACTAATAAATAAAATTATTATCTTGAAAAAATCACTAATAAAATGATTATTAATGTCATAAATGAGGTGAAAGACCAAAGTTAATGTTCGGCAATTAACTCATTAAAACATAACCATCACTGTTCTTTGTTGGAACGTCTAAAATGTGATATGCTGATAATTGGAGACAATTATTCATAACCAACTTTCTTCAAACTTTGGTATAAAAAATTTTCTTTTCGTGAGAAAAATATTATAAAAAAACTTCAACTTCTGACTGTGTTGAATGAGAAAGAATTGTTTTTGCAAATGATACATTTTAACATTAAACTTGTCTTTCACGAAACCGTTTCGTCTAAATTCTTTGCTTTCACTCTCTGTAATCTTTCGGTTTCTAATGGTAAAAACTTTAACACTTTAAAGGACTTCCTCTTTAATAAATTAGACTTTATAATTATTTAAATTTTTACCACCACATTATTTTATGTCGTAAATTTTCTGCAGAGGTGTTACTGCTTAATTATTTGCTTCTGAGAGTATTATATGTAAAACTATAAGTAATTTTTATTACGTTACACAAAAAGCTACAGTACTGTAGCCTCAGAATCATTAATGTTACAGCAGTACAGTATTGTGAATGATAGCTAAATGACATTTGTAAGTTGTAAAAAAAATTCTAGTTATATTTACAATTTTTTTCTAACTTTTTTACTCATTTAGTATTCTTTTATGTTTGATCTGTCCAACAGCCTCGAACAAAGGAGTCGCATAATTTTAAAGTGATCAACTGGAAATGGCTGTTGTTATTTTGAAGGCTAAAAATAACCAACTTTTTGTACGGTTCATTTTGAGCAGTGCAGTTGTTGGTTCAGAATTAAAAAAAAAAAAAAAAAAAGATTATTAGAACTGTTAGAAGTGAAAGATTTATAAAAGTAGACTAGTGATAATTTTCAGAATCTGTTTCAAGAATATTGACAATTAGATGCACTATCTCGGTGAGCAACTCTTTAGCAAATGGTGAAAAACTTTGATGCTGCTAGTTCAGTTGACAACAGAAACACCTGATAAAAGTGCTTCAGCTTCTAAGCTGTCGTTTAGCAGTTCAGATGAAAATATTTTGATTGCTTTTAGTTGTTATTGTAGAAAACTGCTGTGGAAAAAAACTGTTAGGTATTTGCATTTATTAGTGGATATTATACGGCAGGTCAAAAACGGTTTTCAATTTCTTGCATATTTTTGTTCAACAATTTTTTCTTCGCTTTTTTTTTTCTTCTCTTTTCTTTTCAGTATTATTTTTCAATTGGTAATTTGAAACGGTCAATAAGGGTTATAATAACAGATTTATCATTGTCTTTATGTGTTTTTTTTTATCTTATCTTTCAGTGAGATTTTTAGCAAGATTAGTTTTTCTTTTTTGGACTTTCTAAAGCATAAATTTGTTTGAGTATAAAATTATTTTTTACGTATACATTTAATGACTTAAATTACTGCTGCAAAAAAAAAGAGCAAAAAAATTTGTTTGCTTTTTTCCTGCACAAATTCTGTAAAGTTTATTCTCTGTAAACAAACTTCAGAATACAGGTGGTGCTAACAAAGGTTAGCTTCAACATTCATTTTTACTTTATCAAAGATTCAGCTAAAGTCTATCTGTTAAAATAGTTTTGCAATTTTTTCACTAACTTATTTGTAACATTTCAAATACAGTAGAAATAAGCAAAAAAATTTGTTGCATAGTATAAATGCTGAATAGAATAGGAATAAAAAAAAGATTTCTCAAAACTTAGAAGAGTAGATAAAAGAACAATTTTTTTTTTTTTTT